ATAAGCCGTAATCTAGCTGAGGCAATACTCTAAAATTACATTGCATAAAAAAACTGTAAAATTTCACTCCTTGAAATTCTACTCTTGGTGTGCTTGATGCTGCTGTGTACTGAATTTTTGCCATATGTGCTCTATTAAATCTTCCTTGAGACGCATGTGACTTGATCGATCGCGAATTTCCATGTCTTTGTCAAGTACATCCGTGAATCCATAAATTGGTCCATGTGCAAGCCCGGTTAAATTTGGGGATGATTGTGCTTGCTCATATGTGTTATCATCTGGTGTGTCATAGATGCCTCTCTCATCCTCTATTATCATGTTGTGCAAAATAATACATGCATACATAATATTGGCTAGCTCTTCCCGTTCCCAGAGTCTAGCTGGGTGACGTATGATAACCCAACACTTTTGCAACACCCCAAAGGCTCGTTCCATAGCTTTTCTTTCTCCTTCTTGAAAGCTTGCAAATAATTTATGCTTTGCACTAAGTGGCCTGAGGATTGTCTTGACAAATGTGGCCCATTCTGGATAGATACCGTCAGCTAGATAGTAACCCATGTTGTATTGTGACCCATTAACAGTGAACTGAACCTCTGGTGCTTTGCCTTGTAGTTGTTCTGTAAATAACGGTGACTGGTCAAGCACATTAATATCATTGTTCGAACCAGCAGCTCCAAAAAATGCATGCCAAATCCATAGGTCATAAGACGCAATAGCCTCTAGCATTAGCATTATGGTAGGTACCTTATAATCACCTCGAGTGAATTGCCCTTTCCAAGCAACCGGGCAATTCTGCCACTCCCAATGCATACAATCAAGACTACCCAACATCCCAGGGAAACCACGTTGTTCTGCTACTTGCAGTAAGCATTGGATGTCTTCACTAGTAGGCTTGCGTAGATACTGCGCACCGAATAGGCTTCTAACACCAGTAACAAAATGAATCAAACACTCCATTGCTGTACTCTCAGCAACCGAATGTTTCATCCATAAGATCTGCTAGTGAACCATAAGCCATCATTCTAATGGTAGCAGTACATTTCTATAATGATGATAGACCCACTTTGCTAAATGCATCTCGACGTAGACGAAAATATGGAGACCAAACACCTAGAGCTTGGACTATGCGTAGAAATAAATGCTTCCTCATGCAAAATCTTCTACGAAACTGATCATCATTGTACAAGGGATTATCTAAAAAATATTTAGCAACTAGTCTGTTGTGATCACCTTCATGATCTCTGTTGATGTACCTCCTTGTATAACCCCCACGTCGAATAGAAGACCTAGCTGATTCTGCTTCAATCTCAGCTTCAATCTCCTGCTCAAGCTCAGACTCAATCTATGCTTCAAGGTCAGACTCATTAGAATCACTTGAGTCAGTTGACATTATTTGTACTGGCTGTGGACTGGTGTCTAGTGAATGAGGGAGTGCAGTGAGTGTGAATGAGGGAGTGGCTGTGGACTGGTGTCTAGTGAATGAGGGAGTGCAGTATTTATAGCTGATATCCACTTGTATGCAACAGCCATCTGCTGCTTTTGTTTGTCTTTTTCTCAACATCTATATTCTTGTTTGTCTTTTTCTCAACAGCTATATTCTTGTTTGTTTTGTTCTCAATAGCTATATTCATGTTTGTCTTTTCTTAACAGCTACATTTACCCACAACAACAAGTTTTTTTTTCAATATCCATCCGCTAGTTTCATTAATAATGGGTACAACCATCAATAGCTTACAAATACACTGCCAATACTAACAATTACACTAATATTAGGGGTACAGCCATGCAACCTAATACATAAACTAATTAACTTAAAGCTTACATACATAGGCTTACAGATACACCGACCAAACTTAAAAACAACTACACTAAATATTAGGGATACATGCATCTCGTGCTGCTTTCTACTCCTCAGCCAAGTCTTTTGCAATCTGATCCAGTATGCTCTCATGCCTGTTTTTTTCTTTTTCACTGAAGTTTGAGGTATCTATTTCCAGCAGTTTCAAATAGGTGTTATACTTTTTAGCCCTTGCTGATTTTGCTTTCATTGACATTGCTTCATGATACATAACCATATTTTGACTTGGTTGGCTGCTCAAAGGAGATAGCGCAGCAGATTTCCCTATCCCTTTCAACCTTGCCTTCGCTTTCTTCTGCCCCTCGGGACGTACCTCTCTACTCATGGTTTCCCCCTCTGTGTCTTGGTTGGACGAAGAAGTGTATGCTCCTGAGTTAGATAGCTTGGTCCTTTTTGGTGTGCTCTCCTCTTGGATGATTCTGCATCATTTGGGCATCTCCTTGGCCACATCCCATAGGTACTCATATATAAAAGACGTACCCTTGTTGCCATTCTTGAAAAACTCATGGGCTGCTTTCTTCACCATGTCATCAGATTGCCCACTGCTGCGTGCATTCATAGCTTTAGCATAGACTCCACTGAACTTTGTGATATCCCTCTTGACATCACCCCAATGTGTCTTCAATTGTTTGATTGACCTCTTGTGGCTATTATTTGGCGCGTTGTCATTGAACTCAGCGGCTACAGCTTTCCAATAGTACTCAAATTTCCTGTCATTGCCGATTACAGGATCAGTGGAGTGTTTTGTCCATGCACTGAATAGCCTATCATTTTCTTCTTCACTCCAATTGATGCGTTGACGCCTCTTTGGTTCTTCTTCGCTACTATCACCTAACTCTTCAATGTTGACTGATTGCTTCTCTTGTTGTGCAGAGCATCGAGAACTTGACTCGGATCCATGAGAAGAAGTGTTGGCTGCAGCTCCACTAAGATGGGCGAATTGCAGCACTGATGGTGGCCTATTGCCTACAGTTGCATCCAAAGGACCAACACGTTCATGGAGATGAAATCCTTGAAAGCCTGGTGGAGGTGCTTGAAGCCAACTCCCTTGTTGTTGAACACCTTGAAATATGGGAGCAGATTGGCCATATGGTGGGTGGATTCCCGGAGGAACAAAAGGATTGAAGTTTTGTAGAAAGTTGGATGTTCCAAAGGGAAACTGAGATTGGGGTGTAGGAGGTGAGAACTGACCACTACCCTCTGATGAGTACTGGGATGGAGAGTCCTGATTCAGGAGGTTTGAAAAAAATCTTGGGAGGTTCCATTGGAAGGTTGTGTTCTAGAGTGGATCTCAGGTGCTGAGAATTAAGCAACAAGCTTTAAGTTTGAGTTCGTAGAGGCAGCAAGCAGGCAAGTGAAGATAAGGCCAACGCCCTTCAGTTTTGTAGAGGAGCAAGCAGACACGTGAAGAGGAGGCTAACGACTAGCTTCCTTGTATGTGTTAATGTGCTACAGTTAAAATAACATTTTTATTCCCTGGTGAGCTGGTCATAGCGCAATGGGTAACTTTTGTTATTTCTTTGCTATGGACTGCTCCTACAAGTATCAGCTACCTGGTACCTATTTTTTTATTCTCTATGGACTACTTTCTCTGAACATTGTGGTTGCTCTTATATCAACACCACTTGGTCGGGAGGAGGATTATCAAATGAATTAGCTAGAATCCCTTATATTATAGGGAATTGTTTGAATTCTTTAATCTACTATATTCCGGAATGGAGAGGTACTCAATAAGGTGAGCACCAATCAGAGCCAAAATGCTAATGACGGAGTGATAATGAGCACATCCCTCGTAAACATATGCTTTTCCTTTTGAGATGGTGGGATATTAACCACGAAATGATATAAACTATTTGTACGAGACGTAGCTAGCAAACATTATTTTTTAATAGGGGGGACAATCTATTTGATATTAACGCTTGAACAATACGTCTGGACGTCAATCGCACCGTAAAATAAAATATGATCATAATTAATAAAGATACGTCGTGCACGATACGGAAAAGCCCGCCTCTTTCCTTGCAAAGTTCTGGAACAGCTCAACACGCATTCGGCATTCCTCCGTTCAACTTTCAACCGCGCTTCTCTTCTGGAACCATCCGAGCACCCCACCCCGTCCATCACACGAAGATCTAGGCCTCAATGACGCGTGGGTCTAGAAACCTAACAGCGCGTCGCGGTCCCATCTGCCATAGACCCACTCAAAACCCCACACCACACGACTACTCCCGTCTGGTCGTCCATGGAGAAAACTAGTCGAGCAGATTCCTTGTCCTTGTTGCTGTAGTACCCCGTCCAACCCCCACAGCGGCGGCAACCACTGCCCGTAAATTCCATGAGACTTTTCCCCGCGTGCCATTATAAAAGATCGTAATTTCATTCCTCTCCGCTGGAAAATTCAGCCGTTTTTTCAACGTCATTATTTAACTTTTTCGGTCCCACGAACCCTACTTCCGTCAGTTCGAGTCTTTAACGCCGTCAAACGAGGTGTGAAAAGCGCAAATACCCTTAAGTTCAAATATGTTATTAATTTTTTTGAGCATCTTAACGACTTCAAATGAAAAAACTCAAAACTAAAAAGTTGTAGATCTCAGATCTATAATTTTCATATAAAATTTATTTTCATTTAATTTCGCAAAAAATGATGATTTTTCTAAGATATATTAATCATATCAAATCATATTTTTCTGGACTGAATTAAATGAAAATAATTTTTGATATGAAAATTATAGATATCGATGTTGGAATCTACAACTTTGTGCTTTTTGTTTTTCATTGACGACGGACAGTGTTTTCCTTTTTTAACATACTTTGACTTATCATTTAGCTCGTGTCACACTATCACAACGGAGGCATATTTAGTGTGAAAAACTGCAGTGGAATTGAACTGGCGCTGTGGGCGACACAACACCACTGTGCTAAACTTTGTAGTTCAACAGAGTTTGTATGCGATATTTTATAATAAGATTGAGCTCATAAAGTCTAAAATTCCATTCCTCCGCGTTCGGCATCCCTCCCCGCGCGACCATTCACCATTCCCTCCGCTGGAATCGGCAAGCCCGCATTTCGAGTCCCGGAGGCGGCCACGAACCCTAACCCTACAGCGAGGCCTCGCCGGCGAGGAGTGGGGGCTCCGTTGGCCATGTCGATGGACTCGGACAGCTCGTCGCACAGCGGCGCCGACTACAGGAGCTTCGGCCAGATCACCCGAGACGGTAAGTCCGGTTCCCATTCTCAGCTTGCCGTAATCCTTGGTTAGTGGGGATGAGGTGGTCACTGTCGCTGCGTTTGTGTCTGGACTGAGGGAGGGGACGGAGATTGGTTTTGATCCTGGGAAATGTTGATAGGAGTACGATGTTGGTATTTTTTTTATGTGCTTGCTTGGACAATTGGTTGACGACGGACAGTGTTTTCCTTTTTTTTTCTAGGACTAGGACTTATCGTTTAGCTCGTGTCCGTATCACAACGGAGGCATATTTAGTGTGAAAAACTGCAGTGGAATTGAACTGGCGCTGTGGGCGACACAACACCACTGTGCTAAACTGTTGTAGTTCAACAGAGTTTGTATGCATCTTCCATGCCCAAGATTGAGCTCATATTTATGACTTTTATTTTCCACTTTATGCATGCACTGGATGACTGGAAATACTTCCATTCACTTTGTTGTAATCAGGCACTGCAGTTGATTTGATTGGCTTCCTGTATTAAGAATACGAAGGGCGGTCCTGGTGCAAGCGGTAGAGTCTTACCGCCTGTGACCGGAAGGTCCCGGTTCGAGTCGCGGTCTCCTCGCATTGTATAGACGAGGGTAAGGCTTGCCACTGACACCCTTCCCCAGACCCCGCACAGAGCGAGAGCTCTCTGCATTGGGTACGCCCTGTATTAAGAATACAATTGCTAGCATTATTGTTGGAAAGCTTTTATGATCCTGCAATCAGATAATTGTTTTGCTATTGCAGCACGGTTTCATGAGTTCCAAGACTGCATTCAGTTTCAGAATCTCCAATCCTTAAATATTCCTTCTTTGCCTTTTGACAGTTTGGAGAGGGACCTCCAGTAAAAGCACCTATGACCACCAAATCAATGATTTTTCAAATATAAAAATATGAATCAGAGTACGGTTTATAGATACTTATAAAATTTATAGCTGGCAACTTGTCTATATTTTTATTGTCACATGTTTTATCTTTACCATTTGCCTAGAACTCTTATGTGTCTTTGTACAATCACATTTTGTTTTTAGCACTTCTCTTTTCTGATCCTATATGTCTGTGTGTGTACACAATTCAAGTTAGCTTAATATGGTGCGGGCCTTTAAATCTTGGCCTACTGATACCACTTTTTCTATTTACTGTAGACTAGCTACCACATTTATAAATTAACATTTGTTTGTTTATTATTGTTACAATCATATAGGTTTGTTACTTGAGATGCTGAGATCGACGCGGAAGAGTTCAAAATCAACATGGAAGGTATTCTTGGAGAATGGAGGAAGATGATCTTCTAGTTTCAGATGTTCCATTTTCATGCACATAAAATTGTGTCATGAATTTCAGGTTCTAATCATGGACAAACTTACGGTCAAGATAATGTCATTTTCATGCAAGATGGCAGATATCACAGAAGAAGGGGTTCCATGTAAGTAGACTCATCTAAATATGTTCTGTTATGTGTGTTATATAACTATTTCTTATGAGATATTTGTTGTATCCATCGTTCTGAATTTTGTTTTTTACACTCAATAATTTGGCACCTAGATATGAAAGCAAATCTATACAGTACATCTCAGATCTATATAACAATAAAAAAAAGGGCGTACCCAGTGCAGAGAGCTCCCGCTCTGTGCGGGGTCTGGGGAAGGGTGTCAGTGGCAAGCCTTACCCTCGCCTGTGCAATGCGAGGAGACCGCGACTCGAATCTGGGACCTTCCGGTCACAGGCGGTAAGACTCTACCGCTTGCACCAAGCCCGCCCTTCTCAGATCTATATAACAATAATATAAGTAATTCTGTTATCTTCTAAAGCATTTCTTATGGCATCCCAGATTGTGTTAATAATATGGTTTCTTTTGTGTAAACCTTTGAGCTGGCATCATGTGGTGTTTGGAGTATAACTAGTTTATACTTGAAACTTGAAAGCGTACAGTTTATCTGAAACCACAATAATTCTATACTGACATTAAACTGCAGTAGTTTCTAATGGAACTATATTGTTGTGACAAACTGTAAAATTAGTACAGTTATGTCTGAATTAGTTGTGTAGCATCCTTTCTCCTTTGCTAATTTTATAATTTCCGGCTTTGTATGGAAACTGTTAAGCTTTTTCTGCTTGCAATTTTTTTTATGTTAACATTTACCTTTGCCAAGTTATAGGAGCCTTGAAATTCCATGAAACATTAGTTCCTTTTACTTCTACCAAATATATACATTCATTTTCTTCTAAAGGAAACTTTACAGTCTCTTACCAGAAGTACTGTATATACATACAACCATACAAGTTCAGCCTTGGCAACTCTTTGCAGTGGTTGAAGACCTATACAAACGGAGGCAGCCATTGCCTTCAATGGATGCAATTTATTTCATGCAGCCTACTAAAGAAAAGTAAGTTTTGCTAATTAATTCTCATTGACATGGTTGGTTATGTCAGCCTGTAAGCCTCTTCTGCTCTGTAGTTCTGTGATCTTTTAAAAGTTAAAACCATATCTTGCTAAACTTTACTTAAACATATAAAATGCTTCACTAAGAATAGAATTATGTCAGTATGATCTTTTTTCTTATATGCTGCCGTGCTGCATTATGATCAGAATTTCAGAAGTATGTGGGTGGTGTGTTATTTTTCTTGTCTTACTTGACTTCTGTCATTGTGTACTTGATGATTATGAATGATTGGGCTGGTCCCTTATGCACTCCGATCGTCTTTAGGTGGATAAAACAGATTTCAAATATAATATGTTTTTATTATTATAAAATATTATACACTGATAGGTGCTATCCTTGAATGTATTTTGGGAGAATAGCTTCTTTTTTTTTGTGACTTTGGGAGAATAGCTTCTATTTTGGTTCCAACCAACAAGGCAGTAGATTGATGTGGCATATGTACCTGGTATTTCTCTGGTAAAGGTTGAAATTTGGTTTGTTCATCCAGTTCTATAACCATTTTTTGTGGTGATAATGCAGTGTTCGCATATTCATGTCCGACATGTCAGGAAAAAATTCATTGTACAAGAAGTATGTGATCAACACAAACTTTTTTTGTGGCCATTTGTTTTGTAGATTTAAGTACTAATAGCATGATGTGAAACCTGGTGCAGAGCTTATGTTTTTTTCAGTTCTTCCGTACAGAGGGAATTGGTAGCTCATATAAAAAAGGATTCGACTGTACTAACTCGCATCAGTGCACTCAGTGAGGTTATTTGGCCACCGTCTATTTATTGCATGCTCATTCTTTTTAACGTCACACTTATGCTATATCTGACTTTTGTTCCATGCTTCAGATGAACTTGGAATACTTTGCTATTGATAGTCAGGTACTTGATACTTCTGCTTGTAGTAACCTTTTTTGATTGCCTATTTGTTATGAACTTGTTAGAGTGGTACTTCAAACAGAAACTGAATTTATCTCTTCTCTTAACATTCATTTTGAAGTTTTGATAATACTTAAATGTTGTGTCTAGGGCTTCATAACTGACCATGACAATGCCTTGGAGGAGTTGTTTAGTGAAGATGCAGAAGGCTCACACAAGTACAATGCATGCCTTAACACAATGGCTACAAGAATTGCCACAGTGTTTGCTTCATTGAGGGTACTGTCTTACCATTTTATGCTGTATGTAGAGTCTTCATACCTTCATGTTTGTTTTGATTTTATGCTGTAAGAGGAAATCATGTATAGTGTGCATTATTGTGCAGCCACTGAATAAGGATTGGAAAAATCTTTGTGCCATGTTAGGGCTCATCAGAGTAGTACCTTGGGTTATATCTCGTAGTTTGCTTTATTATTGTTTATTGAGATGAAATCTTATTATGTCCTTTGTTTAGTGTAAGATGACACTCTTTATTTGGATAAAGATAGATATGGTTGTTATGGCCAGGCCCTTGTGAGGAGACAACTTTAAAAGGAAGCAAGATAAATTAAGCAAGTCTCCGAGTTCACAAAGTCTTACTGTGATCTTCCTCTTACAGGCTATTTTATGTCCATCCCTTATCCAGTTCCCTCCTTCTAGGTGCTGTTCTACCTCAAGTTGTCGGACATGACCTCTCTCCAGTAGCTGTTTATCCTCCATATATAGTAGCATACATTACATGTTAATCGTATATCATTTCTGGAAACCTGCGGCCTATAAAACTATTTTACACTGCAACACACAAGTGACATGGTGTTGGATTGGCAGTAGTTCTGCCACCATAGAAAAACTAGCAACAAGGAACATCAGCTGCAATGTTTTTCCACTGAATGGAATCATGAATGGAAGGAAATTGGTTGAAAACAGGATAAATTGACTCTGAAGTATCACTACAATTTTACTTTCTTCTAACTGGAATGCTGATTCATAATGCTTATTTCAAGTTTTCTAAAGCTGAACATATTGAACTATTCTAGGAATTTCCTCGTGTGCACTACCGTGTAGCCAAAACAATCGATGCATCTACTCTGACGACACTACGAGATTTGGTCCCAACAAAGCTTGCTGCTGCCGTGTGGAATTCCCTTGCCAGATATAAGTTGATGATACCTGAATTTCCACAAACAGAAACATGTGAACTACTTATTGTTGACCGATCAATAGATCAGGTAGGAGGTGAATTCCAGTTTACACATTTACATATTGCTGGTGCATCCTTTGATATCATGTTCTCTTGAGCACTGCAGATTGCACCAATTATTCATGAGTGGACATATGATGCTATGTGCCATGATCTACTGTGTATGGATGGCAACAAGTATGTACAAGAGGTGAGTACATCAGCAGCGTACAGTCTTACACTGTACCTCACTAGTTTACCTTATTCAGTTCTTGCTATGTTTTTATGCATGACTCTTAAAATTCATGGCACCCTCAAACAATAGGTTCCAAGTAAGAATGGTTCAGCAAATGAGGAAAAGGAGGTTTTGTTGGAGGATCATGATCCAGTATGGCTTGAGCTGCGGCATGCGCATATAGCTGATGTAAGATTGTTGCCACTTTCATCTTTAACTATAGTCATATGCTTTGCTGACTTAATGATCAACATTTCAGGCTAATGAAAGGCTGCATGAAAAGATGACCAGTTTTGTATCAAAGAACAAAGCAGAACAAAGCAGCTCAACTACAGCAGGCAAGGTTTGTTCAGGAAATGCAACTTTTGCAGATTAGAGGGGTAATTGAGTGTTAGCTGAAGGGTATTTTTTTGCAATTGTTAGAATAATTTTCACCGATGTTCGTACTATGGACAGTTCTGTTGTTCTGTCTTATCAGCAGAGCGTTTTTTGCTGCACAGACTAAGCCCTGGGTGCCTAGATGTGTGTGCAATCTTTAAATTCGGTGGTTTAGTGGATACTCGAAATGGTTAAATTTGCCTGTAATTTCGTTGCTATGAAGTAATAAAATTCAGGCTTCCCGTCGTGGTAAAAAAAAAACTCTTTGTACACTAAAAAACTACAAATACTTTACAGTGGTGGTTCTGATATGTCTGGCAGCATTTTCCGCTAAGTGTCCCTATGAATTGCTCTTGCCAGTTATGTTTAAAAAGTAACTAAAGGGGCAAGCAATGCTGTTAGCTAAGGTATTAGCTACTTAGTAGCTGTGTCAATGGATATGGTTAACATTTATTCATAGGATCTATTTTGAGTGTCAGATCTGGTGGAGAGTTATCTACCAAGCAGTTGCAGGAAATGGTTCAAGCTCTTCCACAATACAGTGATCAAATTGACAAGCTCACCCTTCATGTTGAGGTTAGTAGTTTTGTTTTACATGACATGCGTCTGCAAACTCAACAAAGACTATTTCTTATAACTGTTAGCTTCAGTAGAATTGTCTGTTGATATATTATAGTGACCGCCTTTAGCCTATCATTTTTTTGCTTTCTGCTCCTTGGAAATTCTGTAGTTCAGATATCAATATACAAATGTTGATAATTCTACAAGAAACACTTGCATAGTTTTCGTTGCATGGTGCACTCTACAATGGGGCAGAGTTTGATTTGATAGGAATAGATATGCAAACACATTTAACAGCTACTCTTTCTTACTCACCATGTGGGCCATCGGATTACATTTGAATGCATTCATTTGGGGTGGGGAACATGTCCACATGAATCAGCATTTTGAATAACACTTACTAGAGGAAGAAATCATAATCTGGTGGTTTGTAGGAAGAGAATAGCAGTATGACACAAAATACAATATTTATCGCTTCATGTTACTACAGATTGCAGGAAAGCTTAATAATATAATCAAAGAACAACACCTCAAAGATGTTGGACAGCTAGAGCAAGATCTTGTGTTTGGTGATGCTGGGACAAAAGAACTAATCAGTTTCTTACGAACCCGCATGGTAATTGTTGTTTGAACTACTGCATATAAGATACTGCACTTGTCTCTACACCGCTTAAAATATTTTGCTTAACTAATGCAGGATGTAAGTCATGAAAATAAGCTGCGTTTGCTGATGATTTATGCTTCCATCAACCCAGAGAAGTTTTTCGAAAGTGAGAAAGGTGCAAAGCTGATGCAGGTGACTTTGGTTTCATACTTTTATTATTTCACTATGAGTTCATTTTGTGTGTCATCTTTGATGGATAAGTCTTTGTGGGGCTGGTCTTTGTGGGGCTGCTGCATGGTGGTTATCAAGGACAGCATCTTTGACTGAAGGACAGCATCTAGGACAGCATCTAGGACTAGCATCTTAGACTCTAGGACAGCATCTTAGGACAGCATCTTAGAGGACAACATATTAGCATCTTAGACTATCATTTTGGCATATGCTTGGCTGGCTAGCAGCCTATAAATATGTATCCCGAACCCCTCAGGTTGGCATGGCATTTTGTGTGAGTTTGTGTGAGAAATAAAACCAGAAAATTGCCCCAACTCCTAGTGTCATCCTCTCTCGATGAGAGTAAGAATTCTTCTACTACCAAGAGTGAGAGTTCAACGACTAACAAGCGGTATCGAGCCTTACTATCCAGTGCTCGAGCATCTCTGCTCATCTCCCTCCCGCCCCCTAACAAATTTCAAATGTTGGCGGCAGCAGACTCCTCCGCCGCCCTGCTCACCTCTCCCTCTCCTGACAGACGACGGCAAAGAATGTCTGTCTGGCAGCTCTCTCCCCACGCAGCCCCGTGTAGCGCCCATGTCCGCAGGCGATCTCGGCCTTCGGTCACCTCGAAACGCTGGCGTCGGCGAGAGGCCGAACTTGCAGCGCAGAGAAACGCGAGCGAGCGGCGGCAGAGAGACAGCTACAAGGCGCCAAAAGCGGCGCGAGGGCGTGGCAATGGCGGCGGCAGGCTGCCAGCAGCCAGGCGGAGGCGGAAGCGGCAAGGCGGCGGCGAAATGCGGCGGCGGCGGCAGAGGTCGAGGTTTCACACAAGGGCAAGATCGGCAGCTCCATTTCACCGACGACACCGCCGACGTGGACCTCGAGCTGCTAGAGAGGGAGGCGCGGCCTTGGCCTTGGCGCGGCGAATGGCGCCGCGACGCCCACGAAGCGTGGCTGCAGCCCGAGAAGCGCGGCGACGCTACCGGGCGGCGCTCTGGAGGAGGCGCGCGCATGGCGGTGGCACTCTGGGCAGCCACACACGCCCACGAAGCGCCGCGCGGCCAGACGGATAGCGCGACACGCCGGCGGCGCTCTGGTGGAGGCGCGCGACGGCGGCGGCGCTCTCGAGAAGGCGCGCGCGGCAATGGTGGTGGGCGGTCGATGGAGAGCGCGGCCTTCACGAGGCGTGGCTCTCTCTCCCGGATCGGTACCGACGGGTAGATGGAAACACGGCCTTCACGCGCGGCGTGGCTCTCTCTCCCGGATCGGTACCGTGGTTACCACGGGCTCCAAGTCGTTGTCGGGGACGTCGGTCCCGCGGTGGGTGGCCTACCCTCACCAAGACCAACTACGTCGAGTGGGCTGCGGATGATGAGGTAAAGCTCCAGTGCGGCACATGTGGGAGGCGGTCCCGATGCGGCGACGTCGACTCGACCTAGATCAACGGGCGCCGGATGCCCTCATCGCCTGCAGCCCCGCCCGAGATGCGCTTCTCGCTTACCAACAAGCGGACGCGCCAAGGAGGCTTGGGCGCCATCGCCGCGGCACGCATCGGCGGCGATCACGCCGCGCAAGTCCACACTGCAGCACGCCGCAGGAGGAGTGGGAGAACACGCCTTCAAGCCGGTGAGGGCGTTGATGACTTTGCTCTCCGTCTCAACACTGCATTGCGAAAGATGGTGCGATTCGGCGATGACACCTCTGGCGAGGAGAGAGTCGTCGAAAAACTCTTTCGTTGCGTCCATCGAGAAGTACAAGCGAGATGGCTCGCTCGATCGAGTCCCCGCTTGGATCTCTCCGACGATGTCGATCGAGGAGGCGATAAAGTCGCCTCAAGGTCGCGTCGACAACGATGAGTCACGATCTCTCTCGGGGCCCATCACCATCGGGCGGAAGCTCCTTCTCACTCGGGGAGCGGTGGCTTGCCGGCCAAGGTGACCGGAAGAAGAGGGAGCCTTCTTCCGCGACAAAGCGGTTGCCGCAAGCGTGGCAAGCCACGCAAAGCGCCGCAGAGACGCCCGGCGGGCGCGAGGAGGCGTGCCGAGGTGATGCCATGAGGCGCCAGGCGGCGCCCGACGGCAGCCAAGCCGCACGAGATGACGCTGCCCGCAATCGCTGCGCCGGCTTAACCATTGGGCCAAGGATCGCCGATAACACGACGCTGCGGCCCACGTCGCGCCAAAGTGAGGAGCTGGCTCTGTTCATGGCACATGCAAGCATCGAGCTACCTCCGGCACTTGCCGCGCGCAGCTGCGCTCTCTCTCCACCTTGACGAGCCAAAAGCACACGCTCTCCTCGGCGGCGGCTCCGCGTAACGACAAGATCGACGGTGGTGCCTCGACACCGGCGCCACCCATCACATGACCGGTCGGCGGGAGTTCTTCACCGGCTTGACTCTAGCGTCCGAGGCTCCGTCAAGTTTGGGGATGCCTCCGCGTGGAGATCAAGGCGCCGGCTCCGTCATCTTCACCGCCGTGTCTGGTGAGCACAGTGCCGCTCACCGGAGTCTACTACATCTCCACGTTGAGGAACTCCATCATCGCCTTGGGGACAATTGGATGAGAACGGTTCGCGGCGGGTGGTTGAGGACGGAGTCATGAGGATTTGGGATCGTCGTCGCCGCCTTCTTGCCAAGGTATCCGAGCGCAAATCGACTCTCGTCCTTAATGTGCGGTGGCACAACCCCTTCAGAGCCGCCGCGCTCGTCGGACGACGAGGCATGGCGATGTACGCAGCGTTTGGGCACCTTCACTTTGAGGCTGCAAGCGGCTCGGTGCCACGGAGGTGGTGCGAGGCCCGCCGTGCCCTCGACCATGTGGAGCAACTCTGCGGCGTCTGCGTGTTGGCGAGCGGGGCGACTCCCCTTTCCCCAATGGCGAGCTTTTGAGCCAAGGAGAGGCTCGAGCTTGTGCACGGGGACTTGTGTGGCCCGGTGACACGGCCACACCGGAGGACGACGCTACTTCCTGCTGCTCGTCGGCGACCTCTCCCGCTACATGTGGGTGATGGTCCTCGGCGGCAAGGGGGGGGGCTGGGGCATGACGCCATCGGCGCCAGCAGCTGCGCCGAGGCGGCGGCCGCAAGTCTGAAGCCATTAGCGCTACTCGCGCGCGCAAAGACAACGGCGTCGTCGAATTCACGACGGATGGTTGTGGGGATGGCTTGGGCCTCCTCAAGCGAGCATGCACGACGAGGGCGGTGGTGGCGCCACTACTCATCAACGCCTACCGCAAAAGCGCTCGAGCGAACGCGGACGCGTCGTCGAGCGCATGCGCAACCGGCGGGTTGTGGGGATGGGGTCTTGGGCCCTCCTCGCCAAGGAGCGACAGGGGATGCTCGACGGCTTCTGCGGGTGAGGCGGTGGTGGCGACCGAGGCCTACATCCCTCAACCGCCGCCTACCAAAGCGCGCGCACGGCCACGTTGTGTTCGACGAAAAGCGAGGATGGGCGTGGGACAAGGCGGTGGACGGCGGCTCGGCTCCGACGTCACGACGACTTCACCGTCGAAAGTACGTCCCACTTCGAGGAGAGCTGGGGGTAGGCGGCTCTTCTTGGCGAAGCGCGTCTACCCCAAATCCCCGAGCCTCTCACCGACCTCGGCGCTGCACATCTCAAAAGCACCACGCTCTCCGGCCAGACCTCGGTTGCGATGAGTTCTTCGCCGCCCCCCACCACGGCAACGCAACGCCACGCACTCCAAGACCGACAGGCACCACTCCGGCACGTCTACTCCACCACCGGCTAGCTCGTGGTCGAGCACGCCCGCTTGAGCTTGCTACTCCGCTCTCTCACGACGAGGAGCGCGATCGACGCCGCTACCACGATGGCGAACCGCTTGCGGTACCGTCACGATGGAGAACCTTCTCGGCGACCGGCCGGTCTGGGACCGGTGCCTCACGACTTGGAGGCGCGATTGCACCTTGCGTGTGATTTACGGCGAGCCTCGGTCGTTCGCGAGGCGAGAAACACGCGGCATGGCGCGCCGCGATGTAGTTGGAGATGGATGCGGTTGAGAAGAACCGCACTGGGAGCCTCACCGACCTTCCTCGTGGTCACCGCGCGATCACCCTTAAGTGGGTGTACAAAAGTGAAGAGGATGAAGCCGGTGCCATCGTCAAGCACAAGGCTCGCTTGGTGGCACGAGGCTTCGTCTGCGGCGGGGAGGGGGTCGACTTCAACGACGCCTTTGCTCCGTGCGCACGGATGGAGTCCGTCGACTCTCCTCCTGCGCTTAGTTGCCCGGGAGAGGGCTGGCGTGTTCATCACATGGACGTCAAGTCGGCGTTCCATAACGGCGACTTGAAGGAGGAGGTCTACGTGCACCAGCCGCCAGGATTTGCGATCCCCGGCAAGGTGGGCAAGGTGCTCCGCCTGCGCAAGGCCCTCTATGGCTTGCGGCGAGCACCGAGGGCGTGGAATGCCAAGCTAGATTCCACGCTAAAGGGGATGGGCTTCGAGCAAAGCCCGCACGAGGTGGCCATCTACCGACGGGCGGTGGAGAAATGCTCTCTGCGGTGGTGTGTCTCGTCGACGACTTGGTGATCACCGGCACCAAGGATGCGGAGGTGGCGGCATTCAAGGAAGAAATGAAGGCCAACTTCCAGGATGAGTGACACAGGACCTCTCTCCTTCTACACGGGGATCGAGGTGCACCAGATGACTCGGAATCACGCTTGACGCACCTTCTCGCCAAGCGCGTCGTTGAGCTAAATTTGGGCTCACCGATCGCAACCCAGCTCTCACTCCGATGGAGGAGAGGTTGAAGTCGAGCCATGACAACCTGGCGGAGGAGGTGGGCCTTCTGCAGATCGGCGTCTTGTGGGGAGCCTTCGCTACCTCGCCCACACATGGCGGACTGGCATTCTCCGTCGGCTTCGTTAGTCGGTTCATGCAAAGAACCGACAACGGAGCACCAAAGAAGTCAGGAAGAGGATCATCCGCTACGTTATGGGGGCGCTTCGACCACGGCCTCTACTACCCTAGGTGCCCTGGGCGGCACACTTCGCGTCGAATACAATGACAGCGACCACGCCGGCGACATCGACACCGGCAAGTGCACGGCGGGATCCTCTTCTTCCTCGGCAAGTGCCTTGTTAGTCGGGCGATCGGTCAAGCGGCAGGTGGTGGCCTGTCCACCGCGAGGCCGAGTACATAGCGGCCTCCACCGCTTCGACTTCAGCGCTGCTGGCTCGCTGATCGCTTGGTGATCTCCTCGGCGAGAGACACTAGAGCGGTGGAGCTCGGGGTGGACAACAAGTCCGCTCTGCCCAACAAAAGAACCCCGTCTTCCATGAACGCAGCAAGCACATCCGGGTGAGGTACCACTTCATCCGAGGCTGTTTGGAGGAAGGGAGCATCAGGGCGAGCTACATCAACACCAAGGACCAGCTTGCGGACCTGCTCACCAAGCCCCTTGGGAAGATCAAGTTCCTTGAGCTCTGCTCGAGAACCGGGATGGTTCAACTCTCCCACAAGACGACGCACAAGACTTAGGGGGAGAATGATGGATAAGTCTTTGTGGGGCTGGTCTTTGTGGGGCTGTTGCATGGTGGTTATCAAGGACAGCATCCTTGACTGAAGGACAGCATCTAGGACAGCATCTAGGACTAGCATCTTAGACTCTAGGACAGCATTTTAGGACAGCATCTTAGACTAGCATCTTAGACTAGCATCTTGGCATATGCTTGGCTGGCTAGCAGCCTATAAATATGTATCCCCAACCCCTCAGGTTGGCATGCCATTTTGTGTGAGTTTGTGTGAGAAATAAAACCAGAAAATTGCCCCAACTCCTAGTGTCATCCTCTCTCGATGAGAGTAAGAATTCTGCTACTACCAAGAGTGAGAGTTCAACGACTAACAATCTTCAGAAGTACAAGCATTTATTTTTGCCGACTTGAGCATATTTTCTCCAATGTCTCTAGCAGTATTATATCTTTATATAACTATATAAGTGGTGTTATGTACTGTTGAATGGTTTTGTGTCTTACTCCCTTTATCTAATCAGTTTGTTGCTGAGATGTTGTGAAGTACTTCTCAAAATACGATCCCCTGAATAAAAGATTGCTTTGGTGCATCCCTGTGAATAAACAATTGATTGCAAGCCAACATTGAAAAATAAAGTATGCATCCTATTCTTTTTTTGTGGTATATGGTAAGCCAACACTGCTGGTACCATTCTGATATTTAGTTGTTTTCCAATTGCATGGAATGCAAGCCAACATTGAAAAATAAAGTATGAGCATTATGATTGCCATCCGTTCATGAAGAGGTCTTTGTAGTTATCTAGAATGCCCACCTGAAAGTTATATGTGTGGATAGTACTTTGAAAAATAAAGCATCGTTTACTTAATTGGACCATTTAACTTGTAGGTGCTTTTGACAAATGGACGCCCTTCTACTTTAAGGAACTGACACTGCCAAGAATATGCTTAAAATGCCCTTTAATTATATTTTAGGCACAACTAGTGAAGTGAAAAGGGAAAGGGTGACTTGAATTAGGAAAACATGCCTTGGGAATAGTTAGGTAATAGTCATCCATGAACTAACTTTTGTTCAAAATATTGTCAAATATGAGAAAATGGAGGAAGCACCTCTAATATGTTTGTTCGAAAACAATTTAGCCAGATTTCCTTGAGTGGTGACCAGTATAAAGTTATAGTTTGTGGTGATCCTTTTGGGATCCCTGTTGCTCTGTTGTTTTTCATGTAGATAGTCTCCGAGGGCTATCTGCTTGTAATCTCTACTATATCAATAGAAACAGACAGTGTCACTGTCGGTTTGTTAAAAAAAAGGTATAAGTTATAGTCTGTATAAAATTATAATCTTCCCGGTCACAAGTATTGTCTATTGTTTTTCTCCAGTAAAGTTACAACTGCTAGTCACAGATTGGAAGGCTTCAGATTATTTAATGCTATACAATAGAATCATAAAGTGGCCATTTACTACTAGAGTCAAGTCCGTCTTGCGTCTTGCCCCCCTGAACTCAAACCAGATAACATAACAATAATTCTTAAAACCGGACAAATCCCTCCCCCCAAAAAAACACACACACACACACAAAAAAAAAAGTTCAGTGTGGTTTCGAAGGTGGTTTGTTGATGTGGTTCATACGTGGCATATTGAGCCCCACATTTTTTTTCCACAACGCTAATACTGAATTTCATTACTTGCGCAACGAAGTTACAAAGTTCGATACTTCAGCATCCCAAACCTCTAAAGCAAAAAATACCACCATGTGACAGATCACCAAGGGATCCACCCACACGTGACCAGAACCAGCATCGTCCAGCAAAATACCCCAGTTTACCCAGCATATACATCCATGAAGAGCAACCACAAAGTACAAGCCAGAGCCTCCAGCAGCACGCAGGCTGAAACAAACTATAGACACAGAATCATCCTGTATATGGAATGAGCTGATGTTCATCCTTGTTGACTGCTTCCAAGTCCTTGTGGAAGTACAGCATGACTTTCTTCAAGCCTTATATTGAGCCCCGCATGTCATTGGTTTTAGCCATGTCATCTTTTATTGAATGTTGGGGCTCCTAAAAGACCTGAAATGAAAACAATCTTAACTCAAAAAGTTTTTGAGCTCGTCGAGCCCTACAAATTTGGTATAGAATGTGTCTACATCCACGGTCATCTGAAAAATTCAATAATTTGAATTGTAAAATATAAAAATTTAAAACGTATATTTGGGCCTCTAAACGATCTCAAATCTAAAAGTTGTCAACCACAAAGTTGTGGATCGCGTTGAGAGGAACTTTGGTATAGACCATGTCAATATCCAATGTCGTTTGGAAAGTGCAAAATTAAATTTCAAATTCTGTGAACGTGAAAAGAATATTTGGGCCTCTAAACAATCTCTAATAAAAAAAGTCGTCAACTACAAAGTTGTAGATCGTATTGAGAGCTACAACTTCAGTAACATCAGTGATCGTATGAAAAATTCTAAAATTTGCATTTCAAAATTTGATAGCTTAAAACAAATATTTGGGCCTGTAAATGATCTCAAATACAAAGTTGTCAATTACAAAGTTTTAGATCCCATTGAGGGCTACAACTTCTCTTTACTATATTGCTTTTTTGTTACATTTTTACTTCCCCCCTTTGGTCTGTGTGTGGGACAACAGGCTTCATTGTGGTTGCTGTTGATGATCATTTTCTTTGACAGCTTGCAGGATTATCTGCTGATGACATGATTGTAGTAAATAATGTGCGCTGCTTATGTGGACCTGATACTAAAAAGTCTTCAGTTGGGGCCTTTACTTTGAAATTTGATCTTCAGAAGGTAATTAGATTGTGAAACTTTTATATCAATTTAATTTTTGAAAACTTTAACTTCTCAGTAGCTTCAAAGTTTTAAAACTTTTACATGACTATCAGAAAAAGCCTGGTATCAGAAAGGAGCGGATTGGGGAAGAGTCAACATGGATGCTATCTCGATTTTATCCCATCCTGGAGGTGCAGAAAAATTCAAAACTTACGATCTAAGTAGTCATCTCAATATACTTAACGTAATGGCAATTTTTTTTTTACAAAAAAGTTCCCTCCAATTGTTGATGGCATGTTGTCGAAAATGTACTGTGCTATTTTAGTCATCTTTATTTGTTAACTATTTTGCACGTTTTAGTGCACAGAGTATCACTTGTGTTCTATTCCAGAGGTGTTGTATCCTTTGATACGACTGTCCAATACCTATCTTCATTCACTGAGGCCAATCGACTGATTAGCTCAATTAACCTCGACATTGGTGATTGGTCCATTGGTTTCAGCTATATCAGTCACCGGTCTTTTCTCCCATCATTCTTGTGCAGTCATGCGAGTAGGACATTCCTATTCCATGCGATCTCTGTAGTCTAAGACTTAAAGGGAAAAGTTGAACCTTTAAGCACTTCAATTTTATTGAAAAATTAGAGCATTTTCTTATTGTTTCAACATAGTTCATGCAGTTTGGATGATATGGTCCCTGCAGTATGGATGGCCATAAGCATGCAATTGTTTTATGTCTAGCTGGCTTCTGTAAGCAAGTTTTCTATATTGAGCTGGTTGCTGTAAGGTCAGCCGTGCTTGCAACTTAACTGTTAAATCAGTATTTGTACTGATAGTGGAAAATCATGTCCTCTTGCTCTATGTTTAGTTGGTACTCATTTTCTTCTGTATTTACGGGTGCATCTTTTGCTTTGTCTGTAGGACTTGATTGAGAAACTTAGTAACGGTGAGCTACCGAAGGATGAGTACCACTGCATGAATGACCCTAGTCCTAGTTTCCGTGGAATTCCAGGAAGCACATCTGCTCGAACGAGCCCAGTTCATCAGCCGGCCCAATCCATGAGATCTAGACGAATAGGTGGCACATGGGCTACGCCTCGGAACTCTGATGATGGTTATTCGAGGTTAGTAAAGGCAACCTGGTTAGCCTTCTTTTATATCTGTCAAACATGCATTTGTGTTCTGTGCTCAGTGTCCTGATGTCCTGATGGATGTGGGCAAGGTAACTTGTTTTCTGTTGTCTGATGGGAATTCAGGTTTGTGCAACTTAGATGTGTGAAACATTATCTTCTCTAGTTGTTTACTGTTGTATCTATATACATTAACAGTGTCTTGCGCTTCCAATAAAAAGTACATTCCAAATTGTAAGTTGATTTTTGCTTTGTCCTAAGTCATACTTCTCTAATCTTGACCAAGTTTATAGAAAAATGCACAAACATCTACTACATCAAACTATGTTCATTAGATACACCATGAAATACATTTGATGGTGGATTCATTTGATATGTAGATGTTAATATATTTTCTATAGCCTTGGTTAAAGTCAGACAATTTGACTTAAAACAGTCAAAAATGACTTACAATTTGGAACAGAGGGTGTATATAAAGGGCGTACCCAGTGCAGAGAGCTCCCGCTCTGTGCAGGGTCTGGGGAAGGGTGTCAGTGGCAAGCCTAACCGTCGCTTGTGCAATGCGAGGAGACCGCGACTCGAATCCGGGACCTTCTGGTCACAAGGCGATAAGACTCTACCGCTTGCACCAGGCCCGCCCTTCAGAGGGTGTATATATGACTTTGATTTGCAAAAGCGGAACTCTTTTAGGAAGTTCATGGAGCACTCTCGCCAAAATTGAAACCCCCTGTACCCAAGTCACAATAGTTGAGCCTTTTTAGGTTACAAAGTAGCACAGAAGCCATTTTGCAGTTTTCTCGAGGCACTTCAGTTCTGTTGTCTGTTGGTTACCAATTTACATGGCAGCAAAAATATGACTAATATAAAATTGTGCGCTTCACAATGTTAATTTTCCTTTAAATTAAGATCAGCTATGGATTGGACAACAAAAATTTAATTTAAAGTTTCCCCCCTTTTGGACCAAAGGCACTTCAGCCCTGCTTTATATTGAGCAAAATACTCATGCTCGGTTTGCCAGCTTACAGAGGTTTATCACACTTAGTCTAGCCGGTTTGCCATTTTACAGAGGATATATCCGACTAAATCAGATATTTGATGGACAATGGTTAAGTTGTATTTGTGTTTGGTATCTTAAAAACTATCCGTAGTTGTATTTGATATCTGAAGAAAATTGCGGATATTCAAAAAATGTATTTTAAATAACTATTCGACCCTCTTCGGTCAGACAATTGGTTGGAAAGTATCTGTAAAGTTTACACTCTACTGATGACCAATGTGGATTTTTACAGTGACTCTGTACTGAAGCATGCATCAAGTGACTTCAGAAAGTTGGGCCAGCGCTTATTTATCTTTGTAATTGGGGGTGCTACTCGGTCTGAGGTACATTCGTCTACTCAAAACCAATCAACACAGAAATGATGAATTTTTTGTTTCTAACTCTCAGTCTGTGTCCTCTGTGAACGTGACTTCTACAGTTGCGTGTTGCCCACAAGCTGTCAGGCAAACTGAAGAGAGAAATTATCCTTGGCTCCTCTAGTCTCGATGACCCACCGCAGTTCATCACTGTAAGTTCGTCGGCTAATTTTTGGAGTCTTTCTTGTGTTCATTAGTCATACTTGGTAACTTGATGTGTGTCGCTGTGTGCAGAAATTGAAGATGTTATCAACCGAGGAGTTGTTGCTGGATGATTGCAAATATAACAATGCCAAGGACGATTGGCCTTGACATTCTCCACTGTAATTATTTACTTGCATCACTACAACGGGTTTAGTTATACTCCCTTAACCTTGTACCGAACCACAGGCTCTCTTACACAGGCTAGAGGGGCATGAATCATGATATTCATTCGGTAGCCACCGTCAGATACTCACAATCCAGTGTACATACATGACAGCGACCAGAGACTGTAATATAGGTGGCAACTTTATTAGATTGGTGGATCAGCGAAGTTCAATGTTCTGAGGACTTCTATTTTTGTCCTCAGATTGCTGTTATTTTGCGGGGAAAATGGATTTATGTATATTTTGAACTCAAACCGGAATTCATGTCTAATATAAGAGCAAAGAAAGCACAACAGCAGGAGTCCGGCTGAACACGAAGATACACAGCATGCCATGAGCCGGAATATAGTACTCTGCTTAGGACCCGCTTCATTGGTGGAGCATTTTTTTTTTTACTACTTCAGCTTCACAAGTAGCTTCGTGGGCGGAGTGAAGCTGTTTTGGTAAAACAGCTCCGTCGTGGATAAAAAAGACAATGCTTAATCTTTTTTCCCCTTATTAGTACCCTTCTTTCTTGCTTATTTTTTCCCCTTCCCTTCTTTGTTCTTATCCTTTTACTGTCCCTTAGGCTGCGTGGCTCCACGCCTCAGCATCCCTAACGGTCGCGCAAAACTATGTGAAACAGTGGCTCCTCCATGCTCAGCCGCTTGGTGGGTGAGGCCGTGTGCCCTAGTCCGGCTGCTCCTCCATGCTCAGTCTTCTACTCTGCGCTCGGCGAAAGAGCCTGGCTTCATTGCACGTGCCTGTGTCCATGCTGGGGCAAATTTGTCCAGGGTTTGTAGATCCGAGAAGGAGCGGGGTGAAGCTATATTTTTTTGGCTTCGTCTCCCTTCCCGCCTTCTCTCAAGGGGCTTCTCTTGGAGAGCTAGAGCCTTTGGAGGTGTTTGGTTGGTGGAGTGAGAAGTTACGGGAGAAGTTACTCAAGCGTTGCTACCCACCGCCTTACTCTCTTCCTTTCATCAAATTATAAGGGGTCATTTGGTGCATGTCTCCCGCTCTGCATGTGGAGTGGATAAAGCCGCACCAAATGTCCTCGTACGGGGTGCTTTTGGTCAGGCTCGGTGGCCACTTCTCAACTCGAATGGTCTCGCAAGACTATAAGCCCTTAGTGTACAAGTAGTGGTGCATGGGAAGCATCGAGTAGCAAGAGGTATACAAACCCCACTAACACTAGGGCTAAACCTAGAGCAAGGGCTTTTAGCGTTGGGCTAACTAGCCTAAGCACTTCACAAAAAAACACCTGCACTAATCACCGAGTGATTTCACTAAGCACTATTGTGACAAAGAGGACTATAGTGGAGCCTCAACTCCCTTGTTATGTTCCTCAACTCCCACGCACCTTAAATGGCGGGTTGTGGGGTGGGGGAGGGGGGGTATATTAGCCTTCCCACTTGAAACTAGCCATTGGGAAGTGTTGTAGCTTTCTACGTACTCACCAAAAGTACCGGTGGGGTCAGTTAAGGTTTTTGGCGCCTCTCCTGAGACTAGTGAAAGGTCCTAATGGCTAGATGGAGTGAATAGCCTATCAAAAAAATTCTACAACAACACTTAAGCCAAGATGTTAGACAAAAAATGGCGAATCGAGTGTTGCGTTAGCCTACTCAAAATGCAAGCCTCCTATCCACAATTCTAGTTGCTATGATCTCTAAATCACACAAGAGGCTAAGTCACTACTCTCTAAGTTAGTGAGCTCTCAAAGACTAACTAAAGAGCCTCACTAACCACTAACAAGACACAAGCTAGCTCTCAAACCTAGTTACACTAAAGAACTTAGTTACACTAGGAAAGTAAATACAAGAGAAGTAGTGATGCTTATACCGCTGTGGCAAGAGATATACAATCAATCACAATAGAATCCCGGAGACAATGATGGCACAATGATTTATCCCCAAGGTTCACTTGCTTGCCGGCAAGCTACGTCCTCATTGTAGCGATTCACCCACTCGGAGGTTCGTGCGCTAATAGGCATCACACACCTAACCCGCAATCGGGTGCCACACAACCAACACAAGATGAGGATCCACAAGCTACGAGCAATCCACTAGAGTACCTTTTGACTCTCCGCCAGGAAAAGGTCAAGAACCCCTCACAATCACCACTATCGAAGCCGGAGACAATCACCTTCCTCCGCTTGACGATCCTTGCTGCACCAAGCCGTCTAGGTGACGGCAACCACCAAGAGTAACAAGCAAAATCCGCAGCGTAACACAATCACCAAGTGCCTCTAGATGCAATCACTCAAAGCAATGCACTTGGATGCTCTCAAATCTCACTAGATGATGATCCAATCAAGCAAGGTGAGTTAGAGAGTGTTGGCTATGCTCACTAGGATGTATTCTCAATAGAAATGACCAAGAGAGTGAGCAAGAGCTAGCCATGGGGCTTAAAAAGGGAGCCCCAACGAAATAGAGCCGTTAGGCTCCTCACTGCACAAAATGCGGGGCGAGCGGACACTGGTGAGCATGCATCCGGTCACTGGATCTCTGTCATGTGTCCTCCGCTTGAACGTGAGTCGCCCGATCTCAATGGTCAAGTGACTCAGCGCAACGGTTAAGTCACGACCGGACGCGCCACGCCGAGACCAGACGCGGTCGCTCAGCGTCCGCTCGCACGTGCCCCCGCGCACCTAGAGCCACGACCGGGTGCGCCGCTGCCTGACCTAATGTTGCGCCTCCATAGAGTCAGGTTGACTCCAGAAAGGTTCTAGAGCCGCCCAAACGCTATCGGACATGTCAGGTCAATGACGACTGGACACGCCCTAGCGGCCGCTCCTTCCTTCCTTGCATACGTGCTTGCGTCAGCGTACGTCACACTCGATCAGACGCACCACCGTCGCGTCCGATCATCTCCTTGTGCCAGCGTCCGATCATAGACCGACACCACACCCTTCTCTGCACCGTTGACCGGACGCGTAGGTCCAGAGTCCGGTCCTGCGTCCGGTCACACCAGTGACCTCCTCGACTTCACCAACTTCGCCACCCTTGCTCAAATGTGCTAACCACCAAGTGTATCACCTTGTGCACGTGTGTTAGCATATTTTCACAAACATTTTCAAGGGTGTTAGCACTCACTAGAATCTAAATGCATATGCAATGAGTTAGAACATCTAGTGGTACTTTGATAATCACATTTCACGACGAGTTTTACCCCTCTTAATAGTACGACTATCTATCCTAAATGTGATCACACTCACCAAGTGTCTCGATCACCCAAAGACAAAAGCTCCTATCAAATATACCTTTGCCTTGAGCTTTTTGTTTTTCTCTTTCTTCTTTTCCAAGCCCGAGCACTTGATCATCACCATGGCCATCACCACCATCATGATCTTCATCATTTGCTCCACCACTTGGAATGTGCTACCCTATCTTATGATCACTTATAGCAATGGGTTAGCACTTAGGGTTTCATCAATTCACTAAAACCAAACTAGAGCTTTCAACTAGCCGTTAGCTGATCGTTAGGCAATCGTTTCTTCTGTGCCCTTTTCGGTGCCATCATGGGAGTTTCCAATGGCACTTCGAAGATGTCAGTTTGTCCTTAATCAACATTGGAGAACCCTTTTCTCCTGAGGTCATGCATGTGCCATCTTGAGGCTCTCGGTCTTCTCTGTAGAACTCTAGGTTGAACCCTATTTTTCAATATGCTCCTTCCCATCACCATTGGAGATTTCCGGCGGGTCTTCCAAACCCTGTGCAGATTGCCCTGACGCCACTTTCTCCAGTGCCACTGAGTGATCAACATCGGATATTCGGTGCATACTATCTGCATGCATTTTGCTCCTTTCTTCATGTTCTTGCGTCCAGACTTGTTCTACTTGGTGACTCAAACTTCTAGCATCTCTTGTACCTCTTGAACATAGTTTCTAATGTCTTGCTTAAGGTGTTGATCACTCTGGTCTCCACGTTGCCTAAGTGCAATCCAATCATGCATCCATTGAACTAAACCTTCTATACTAACAAAATTATTAGTCCAAATGGTCATGTTGTTCACTAAACACCAAAATCACATAATGACCCAAGCAAGGTGCCATTTTCCTTACAACACACATAGGAGAGCCAATGTATCCATCCATGTGGGCATGATTTAAGCAGAAAAGCCCTTAGAGCTGAGTCAAATTCTCATTACATCGTCCTTAGCCATGTCGCCAAGGTTTGTCTATGCTATTATCTGTGCTTACACACCTTAGCTACCATCTAGACCTCCTCCTCCTACCTCATCCCACTGTTGCTCTGCCCAAGCCATTCGCCTTAGTGCTACCTCGCTCTTCCTTGATCCCATCACTCGAGTCGAAGCCGTGCTACCTCTCTTCATTGTAGCCTCCATCGAAGCATCCATCTTGAAGTTGAACCTGAACGACACTAGCAATGCCTCCATCGTCCACTTGTCCTTCGTGCACCACAAGACTTATGGCATGTTTGGTCCTGTGAAGCGGATGGATGCGAAATCACTCGATCTAAAATTGAACCTATGACTGCATTTGGTTTACATCATATGTTCGGTCGGTCCGTCATCCGTGAGTGTCATTCACAAGTCAGTTAGTGGAACCAACCATGTCAGGATCAATCCCTCTTAAGTGAGTACCCAAGATGATAATCCACCAGGGATTATTAAGTTGGACACATCCCTTAACAGGTCATCTTGGTACACCCCCATGAGATGTACTTGGGCCGGCCTCATCCAGGATCAGTTCAAGAGAGAGAATACATCACAACCATGCTTAAGTTACATCACAGTTCAAATCATTAAGGTTTACAAGTTTTGGTTCGCACACTTAGTTCATAATACGATCACACATCACGGTCTACATCGAAGTCTAGCGGAAGTCTTTCAACATAACATAGTTTCATGGTAACTGATACACGGGTGTGCCACATCCATGTATCTACGGAACATGGAATCATTCACCACTCCTGATCCGGTGAGGGGTTTGGAGCGTAGAAGAAT